ATTCAATTACCAAATGTACAGAGGTCTACCTACACTGCTCTCGCATTGGACTAACGTACTGAAGGCGATTCTCACTTAAGCTCTGCGAGCAACTTGTCTCGTAGTGGTGCCACGACGGCTTAAAAGTTGTTGTTAGTCTGGCAAAATGTGCTTTCATCACATTTATTCACATAAGTGGTCAGTAAATATTATTTAAAAGCACATCAAGGGCTTGTTTAGTTTTTATAACACGCGGTATTTTAATCTGATTAGCTGCGGCAGGATTGTTGCGTAGAAGATATTTTCTGAGTCCTACGAAAGTCCCTTTGTTTACTGTGAAAAGCTGAAGATGACATATGCTCCCTTTCTGTCGGAAAGATTCGTAAACAGGACTGAACTCGCACAAGGCATGGTCGAGCTGCGAAGGCAAAAAAAAATAGATTTAACAAAATAACTGAGGGTGCAAATTGTCGTTACGAACCATTACAAACAAAGCTTCTAAGGACCGCTTTGTTAAGACTTTTGCATGTTATGATGTAGGAGGTTTTGACTGAGAGACGATGGGGTTCGAGGTTACTTGTGTCCAATAGGAGCACTAGATAACGACACAAAAGAAACAGATTTTGCGCCCCATGAGAAGCCGAAGACTTCACATATACCTCAAAAAAGGGTTTAAAATATCAAACAACAGGTTTTACTTACGAAATAAGAGTATTGCTGACGTTTTGATTATCGCCCACGCTTCGCTAATCCGTTCTGCGTGGCAAGGTGTTAACAGGAATACAAATAAGAAAAGAGGTGGAAAAGTGAAAAGGGAGGGAAGGCCCTAGTCATGTTCTCATCCCCTAAAACCTCCTCCCTCCCCCTTCCCCTTTCCCCCCCCGGAAAAAGCTCTTCCTGTCGAGCTCGCTGTTAGCTCGGGTAAACTACTTGATAGAAGTGGTCAAGAGTTCAACATCGCCGCCCCCTGTCTGTGGCGCAATCTTTTTAGCACACCACCGAGTATAAAAATTCTCTAACTCGCTTCATCTCTTAACTGAGAGCAGCTCGGCGCTTCAATCTTGGACTGAATAAAATGAAACAGCAAACCCACCCCCCCCCCCCTCCCAAATCAAGGATGAAGCCGCGCAAAAGCCAAAACGCGCATTTTCTCATCCTTGATTTGGGGGGGGGGGGGGGGGGGGGGGGGGGGGGGGGGGAACAATTTTCCCTTTTTTTTTTTTTAAAGTTTGGGGGACGAAAATTTTATTTTTGTGTCCAGGGGTGGAACCCCCCCCGCCACCCGCCTCCTTTCATCTGGGTGTGGGGCCCTTACTCCCACTATTCCGTCTTCTTTTTAAAAAAATTTCCTCCACCCTTCCATTCTTTAAAGGAGGGGGCCCCGGGCCTTCAATTTTGGACAGAAAAAAAAAAAAACCCAACCCCCCCCCCCCCCCCCCCCCCCAAAAAAGGGAGAAGCCCGCCAAAAACCAAAAACGGCATTTTTTCATCCTTTGTTTTGGGGGGGGGGGGGGGGGGCGGGGGAGGGGGGCAGGTACAAATTTTCCATCTTTTTTGTCTAAGACTGTAGGAGAGCCAAGTTTAGTACTTGGTCATCGGGTTGGAACTCCCCCCGTACCACGTTCTCGTACTATCGCGGTGATGGCCTTCTATCGCAATTTACATACCTTGTTTTCAAGTGTCTTTATTTCTTCACCCTCGAGTTTCCCACAACTCAATTCCAAAAACACGACATAAAAAGGTGCTGTACCCTTAACATCAGCGGTTTTCAACGCACGACTCTCGTCATCGAGCATAATACTCTCTGCGCATGTGTAATCCACCAAACGAAACCGCTGTCCGTCATGGTTGAGCACTGACTTAAGTGCGTCGTAAAAGACTCGTTCGGAAGTCTTCTCTGCTCTGACGTTCAGAATTTGCCCTTGACGGTACTGGTACTCAACTACTGGGCAGTTGTTATGGAAACGAGCGATCTTGACAACGTCTCCAATTCTGTAACGATACAATCCGCTCAGAGTTGTGACAACGAGCTCATAAATTTTTCCAACTTCTGTTTGCTCGGCGAAAAGCGTCTGCAAGATAGAAATAGACTGGTTTTAGCTGTATATGGAGCAAATGACATGCAGTTAACAAGGATACATGGAAAAATACCCGGGCCCAGTTTATTAAACATTGATTACGTTCGCGCAAATTTCCGGAAATAAAATCAACATACGGTACTCTTAAAAACTTTATTAGCTTACGTTGTTGAACTCCTTCTTTCATGCTAAGTTTTCAGAGAGTAAATCAATGCCGTGTGAAATGTCAGGCCCAAACACTCACAGAGACCACGGCGTTGAAATTTCAGCATGTACATGGACATTTTGCACGGTCTCAAATCGGCACAAGACGAAATTTGATCACTCGAGGCGTTGCGATAGCGGTGATATATCAGATTTAAGGGAGCTTAAAGAAGGACGACGACGGTAGTGAAAACTTCCCTAAAAAATGAATTTGCGTCCTTTCAACTGAACTTCAACGCGTCTAAAGAGTCACGTGAGCTGACCAAGACAGATCGGACGGACGTGAGTTGAATGTGCTCCGTAACGTTTTCCTTTTTCTTTCTTAAATGGTATGTTTTATTGTCTCCCTGTATACTATGCCTGAGTCTATTGCTAACATAAAAAGAGAAAACAACCAACTCAAATCTCAAGTTTCTACACTGACGGAGGTAATTTAAAGACTAAACTGAAAGATGCAATGCCGTCCCCGCTGCTAAAGAAACATCCTACAGTCTTGAATTCCTAGGCAAGTTGAAGTCCCCCCGTCTTACTAAGTTGTTTAACAAATTATCTTAGTTTCTCTTTGTTATTTACTTACTTTTGTTAAGTTAGTTTATTCTATTTATTGTATTGTAGTTTCTTTACTGTTGTTTAGTCCATCTCACAGTTGAACCTTGTACTGTAAATAAAACCTTTCTCCCCCGGCCTCGGTTAGTTTAAAAGTTATTTGCGGGTGGGAAAATAATTGGACCGCTCAATTTGTCAAATGCAGGCGATTTCTTCAGGACTGGAATGCTTAAGGAGTATGTCAAGCTTCAAAACGAGAAAGGAAAATTCGTTGTCGTATGTTCAAGTCCTCCATAAAACGCCACATTAGGAGGTTTCAAGTCGTAGTCGTGACGTCAAAGAAATGTACCAAAAGTGTGACACGTGCACATCTGTTGTTTCGCTCATTAAACAAATTGTTTCTTGAGGTTGTTGTCGTTGTTGTCGTCGTGGCGGTTGCTTAAGCACCCTAGTGAAGTTTTTGGACTCCAAAGGGAAACCGCGCCTTCTGAATACAAATGAAAACTGTTAGAGATTTACTCCCTTGAGCTACTGCAATGCAACTTGCTCAATACACTTTGACTAGACAGAGAGATTAGATGTAGAGCAAAAACGGCTTATAAATATCCCCTTCGCGGGAATCTGTTTTAACTTTTACAGAGATTTAAATCGTCGTCTTTCAACAAAAAATCTCAAGGCAATACTAAGTGCAAAAAAAGGTGACCTTGGAACACGAAAAACGAATAACCAATTTTTTCCACATGTGCTTAAACAAGAGCCATAATGAGACTTAAATAAATATCTCAAGGCAGAAAAAGAAAATAAGTAGCTTCACAGCAATCGAAAAATTATAAGGTGTACATACAGTAGGCTGTTCTTCACTGCTTTCCTCTACAGGGATAAACTCGAAGAACATGGCCCGTGGTACCAGCATATACACGGGGTTCTCTTCTTCCGGCCACAGGTTGACTCCAATAAGCCCTTCAGTTGCGCCGTAAAATGGCGAATAAATAGGAATATCGCCCAAGTATTTCTCCTTCAGTTTGGAAGCGTAGAGTTCAGAAGAACCTACGATGCAATGATAAAAAAAACCAAGAAGATATATCAATAAGTATGACCTTTTCTCCCTCAGGTGCACGAGTGTCTAAAACGCACCAAGACAACAAAAACTATTTCATAACTATAGTGTAGTGGATCACGAGCAGTCTTTCTTTTTTCTACAGGTCCGTCGAGCCAGACGTTCGAAGGCGCGAGACAGTAGAGACTTTTGTTTTCGGGAAACGTGAGAAACATTCCTGCAGTGGTTCAGCCATTATCATCCTGTCAATGGTTTCGGTTATTGACCATTTAGCGTTGTGAGGGCAACGCCTAATTCATTTGCTCTAGCTATAGAAGCAGTCGCACTTTCTTCTTCTCAGGCTGCCGCCCTTGTTTCTCAAGAATAAAGGTCTAGGCACTGTATAGGTAAATTAAGAGAATATCCGAAAACGACAATGTGTTTTCTTCTGATCATTGGTCCATTAAATGATGACGACGAATGGTTAAAACTGCGTCTTTTGTTAACGCCTCTAAATCTTTGTGTAATGTTAAGTCTAACAGTTTAAATACCTGTTGAGCAAGCAAGGACCAAATTTATATGAGGCCATATCCTATTAACAATGCCATAAAATCCTTTGGAAAATTCCTGTTTCAACTCCTCTGCACGTTTCCCGTCTGGTTTAAGAAGGTTGTTCAGTTTTCTTAAAGAAACCAAACAAAAGAACCAATGATTTTATTAAAAAAGAGAACCATAAAACCTGTAATGTTTAAAGAGGAAGGTTTTGACCATCATGATAACTAGAAAGTGGGAAAGCGACCAGTAACCATGTCATTTAGACTAATGACAGAGTCATCACAAATAATCAAATTTGTGAAATTATGGAATTAGTTGGCATATACAAGATGAATAAAACCCCCTTGCTAATAACCAGCCTTCTAGTACAAATTGGTGGGGAGATATAAACACCGTTATGCTCCGATGACCACATACCAATCCTTCTAAAACTGACTTGGATCACTAATTTAGAAAGATTTGTATGGAGTCATCTAAGCATAAAAGTGCTTATTTCTTCGATTCCCACCAATTTGTATCAATAGACTTGTTCTTAGCTAGTGAACATTGCTCATTTTGTTTTTTTTTTTTTAGTTCTTCTGACGTCATTACCTCTATTCTCTATGGTAGGTAATGTATTCTGTGTGGGGGGGAGGGGGGGGAGGAGTTTGTTTTTACAGAGTCTCTTTGTAGAGTAGTACCTGCTTGTTGGTGTTGTTGTCACAAATGAGGGGGTTTCACTCATGATTGCAGTAATTATTGTATTCTTACGGAATGCATCATTTTAGGTGCAGGTACTTCTCCTCTGATGTCAACTGGCTGCCTGGCTCCACTAGCCCCTATGGTTATTCCAGGCAGTCAGTACTCTAATTTTACTTTCATTATTTTTATTGTCATAATTTATTGTTTAGCAAGAATGAGTACAAATAAAGATTGTTGTTGCTGTTGTTGTCATTAGGGCTGGGTGTCTACTGATGGGAAAGCCCAGGAAGTGAGATTTAAATATGATTACAGTCAAGTCAGGTCAAGAGTTAGGTACTCCTTGATTCTGTGTATGAATCTATTAGTTGAAAGTTAAATCCGGTAGTCGTTGTTGTTACGAGATTCAATTCTTCATTCTTGTACATGCAATGAGCAGCGAATTCACACATGAGGTGGTAAAAAGTTCTGTTGTTCAGGTTTCTTTTTTGACCCAATATAATGTCCTCATACATTTGCGGGAACTTTACCAATTCAAAGGGTGAAAGACTTTAATAAGACCGAAATCAGAGAAGTTTCAGTCTAAAATAAACTGCTACTATCCATGTAAGAATACCAATTTGATTTTGAAAATGGTGCCGGCAATGACCGTTGGAATCAATTTTTCGAAAATCAGTTTATTAATAAAATCAACTGGCAAAGTTTGAACTGGCTTTACTGCACATTTTTGAAGCCATTACCAACCTTCTGACACCATCTTCAATCTCCAAATTGGGATTCACTTTTCCCAGTTCAATATCCTCCACCAGCAACTTCCATTGTGCCTCAAGAGCTGACAGTCCCGAATACACAATCTGTGCAAAGTTTGCTTCCAAGATACCAAGGTTTCTATCCTTTAAAGCAAACAGCAAGTGAATGTATAGAGCTTCGGGTTCTGTCAAGATGTCGAACCCTGGTTTTGGTGTTGAATAGAGGTGTAGGATGCGCTGTGAATTACTGGGTGAAGAGGAGGTTGGACCAATGGGAAGGCCTGACTCTGTGTATTGCCACCTTGGGGAGTAAAAGAACTTCAAGCTTTTCTGTAGCTCATAAGTCTGCAAGAGAACAATAGCCAGGAAACAACTTCAAAACTTTAAATGGAATCAACTAATGAACTGTTAAACCTTCAAGTCAGAGAGACCAACATCAATTTTCTCTTCACAATATCTTAACTCATCATGAAGAGAAAAGGTTATGAGAGTTACCACAATGATCACCTATAAGGGAACTGAAATGCTTTGATCTTTTTATAAAATTCTGTCAACGAATTCTTTTTTTTAAGGAAATGTACAGAGATCAATCAGGAGAATTTTTAGGTTGATGGTCCAAAGGGTTATAAGGAACTGCTACAGTGTAGCAGAAGATTATTAGCACTGAACCCTTTCAGTCCAGTCCTAGACCAAGCTGTGGTGAGTTGATTATTTTGCTTCCCTTTAGCACCTACAACCCTGAACAAAACCTGTTGAGTCTCATTACAAAAATTCCTATTTTTTGCCCTCGCCCTGCCAAAATTGTTACCATCGCAAATTAAGAGACTGTTCTCCCCTCCCCTGTTGCAATGTTGTTTGCAGTAACAGATGAAATGCACACGTGAGCTGTTAGGCCAAAATAACATTGCGCAAGGGGTGGGCTGGGGGGCGAGTTTGTTCCGCTTCAACGAGATGGTTGCATGTGGCGAAATTGAAAATTACACGGAAATGTCTCAACAGTTTTGTCCAGGGTTGTAGCAGTAAATCTGTGGACAAAATCCTATGCATGGTGATGCCATTCACTGAAACCTGGCCTGGGTTAGTTCAAGAGGTTCGCTTTTGCAATTTGGGAAAATTTTGGCAGTGGAGCCCCATTTCCTCCCCAGCTCTGCCACAAAAATTTACCCAGACCGACACACCAGTGAGCCTGCTAGCAGGCTATCACAAGACCTACACATGTAGGTGTGGTCTATTTTACTCACGTTTACAAATGGCTATTACCTTAGGAAAAGCCTCAAACATGGTACTTATTGCAACAAAAACACCATTGACAAGGAATGTTTTTGATATGTCATTGGTAGTTGGAAGCAGAGAACTTTTCCCAGAAGTGCCTGAAGTGACACCAATCTGATATGGATCCTTTGCTGTAAGAATGTTCTTCTTGCCACGCAACACCTGATCTATATGATCATGGTAATTAACAAAGACACATTAGTATGTGTAATCAAATTGTTGTGGGTGAAATTAGGAAATAATTTCCTATGCATTTTGTTTAAATTCTAATAACTTCCCTCACCTGCCGTGGACAAAATGCAAGTGAAATTATTCCTTAATTTTCCAAGCATACCATATGATTACCTATTAATATAATGGGTGACAAATTACTTTCACAATCATGGGTTTTTGACATGTTTATCATATCAATTGTTGATCAAGAACTCCCCACACTGAAAAGTTTGGAGCTTGAATTTTCAACAAAAAACCTGATAGAATCCTTCTTGATGTGCTCTTTGACTTTCCTGATTTCTGAAGCGTTTTTAATGCCCAGGCATCTTCATAACATTTTTTAACCTTGATGCCATCTTGGCACTGAGATGTACGGAGCTATGTCACGGCAATTGATTTTTTTGTAATTTCACATGTGAAATTATAAATTTTAGCACTGAAATTTCATGCCAAAATTAAGGAGTAATTTGCCACCCATGATATTTACATTATATAAACAAATACTAACAACAAACTGCTTCAATGCAGTCCTGAAATTGTGTCTACCTGTCTACTCAAATTATAAAGTTTCATTATAATAAATTGTTCATGCATTGTGGACATCATTGAACATAAAACTCATCACCAATAGATGAGCTTGGGACCTGGTGCCTTAAGGATTGGTGGAGCCGGGCAAAGCTGTAGCAAGAAAAAGAGGTATCCATGGCAACCCTGCAAGTGGCCACCACCAATGGATTACTTACCACCAATACTTACCTAGGTAGGAGGGGCAATTGGGAGGGTGGAGTGGGCAGAAAATTTTAAGCAAGGCAAAGGCAGGCAAGCTAAATATGACTCGGCAAGTAACTACAAGCAAGCAAACTGCATTTATGGATGCCTGGGGTCACCCCAAGCCAGGTAACAAGAAATTGCTGGCCAGCATTGTTTCTATTTTAACTTTGCCTAAATTCCATTTAGCCACATTCAACCCCTCTATCATCATTCACCTATCGGGCATCTGAAGTCAAGCAGATCTGCGATGACTATTGAGGTAATTATTCTTTCACTAGGATTTATAGTCAGATGGTAATTCCATTCTTCATTCAACTTACCTGGCGGATAAGCTACATATTAAAAGCACACAAGTTCCACCTTTCTATCCACATACACAGTTTCCACTTTCTTAATCCAGACACTCTTTCCACGTACACATTCTCCACTTTCTTAACTCAGACACTCTTTCTTCACCTCTTCTATCTAAGAGGGGGAACAGGGCGGTCCAAATTTCCCACCTTCCATTATTCTTGCATCCCCAGCTCGAACCACTATTCTCATGGCTTCCTCCATTTATCCGTTTGCATCTGTAAATATTAAGCATTATTATTTTCCCTCATTTCTCCTGTTCCCCTCCCTTACCCCACCCACCCCCCATTCTTCCAGGCTCCCACCCCTCTATCCTCCTCCTCCATTATTTAAGATAACCTGCACCACCCCCTCCCCCCCCCACCCCTCGCATCCAAGCAGAATTCAATCAAGCCCTCAGCCACTGCCTATGGCAGCATAAAGTAGTGCCTTCCCTTCTACTCAAGGAAGGCCTAAAATCTCACCTATAAATTCTTTATAATGAATATGTCTTGTCAATGGATGCATGGCTACATACTGCTTTTTGCCTTCTATGTCACCAAACTTATACCTAACACCATATTCAGTACTGGCGTTTCCCTTGAGAATCTTCAACAAAGTTTCTTCTTGCACTTCGGCGAAATTAGCACTGTCATTTTCCAGTTTTCTTCTCATTCTCGCCCCAAAAAAGGACAAGAAGAAGTACTCGAAATACTGTCGAAGCATAGAGCCAAATGAGTGCAACTCTGACCGCCTTTTACGTCGAATGTCAAGTGTTATTCCTAACGCGGAAACTCCCACAAGGCCAACTGCAGTAGCTAGGTACAACCTCGACATGTTAAGCGCAAGTGGTACGTGGATGAACTATAAGATCTTCAACTCAAACAGCTGATGTTTTATATTTGGCTTATGTAATATTTTTGGTCCAAATAAGATATATTCCTACCGCGACTGCGTGACAAACTCGTTTCCAGTTTCTACTCTTAGCTTCTTTCTTTGAAGGAACGTTTCCGCCCACTGCATGACAAGAGGGGTCATGTGAGAGAGTTCCTTTTACTGATCTCTCCTCCTAAAATGCCCTATACCCTCTCCCCCTAAGGCCCTAAGAAACGCCTGATTCCAAGGTTAGGCACCTCAAACCCTGAAATGCTTTGTGGAGTTGTGGGTAAACGTCACAAGAATGCTTTGTGGGAAAATGGCGCACCATTCCGGAGTAGTTTGGGCAGAGGGGCAGTAGCCCCCCACCCCCAACAAAAACATGGGGCAAAGAGCCGCGCCCCCCCCCCCCACCCCCCCCCACACCAACAACGAACCACTCACCCAACACCGTCATACAAGACATCATCTCCCCACCGTCACACCGCACTAAAACACACA